GGGTAGGTTTGTGTATACCAGAGTGATTTTTTTCTTCGATTTTACATATAAAATTATGCATGAAGATCATTAATTTTATATATGAGTGACACTTGACCCCCTGTAAATACGCAATGTCCTGCGACTGATATGGTGAATTTAATCTACTTTTTGCATCATACTATGTTAAAAAAAATGGATCAGCACTAATGCTAAATTTAGTAAGAATGATCAAAAAATAGTCTAAATTTAGCAATGATCTTAGTGGACAAATTCCTTGCAAGCATAGTAAAGTACATGTTTTAAAAAAGAATAGAACTCTACAACAAAGGATTTTTTGAGAATATCTCGTTATTACATTAAAAATAAAGACCTATTCTATCAACTAATAATGCTATTTTTTAAAAATGTAGGACAGAAAATGACTTCTATACTTTTAAAATTTGCTCAAAATTTAGGAGGTCTTTAGACCAAGCCAACTATACCATATCATTTTTTTTATTTTCATGTTGTTTTTGGTGTTGTTGTTGTTGCTCAATGTTTTTTTCTTTAATTCTCTGATTATCACCTTCCAAATGGCTTAATTTATTCAACTTTAAACAATTATCTCTATATCTAGATGAAGTCTTCCCATTATCATCTGAAAAACATTCTTGTAACCTTAAATCTTCATTAGCACTATTACTATTACTACTATTAGTACTTAGCATACGATCTTCTCTTTTTTTTCTCCTTCTAATCAAATCAATACTAAGATCAGAGTATAATTCACTAATAAAAAAAAAGTTTATTCTTTAGGCATTATTTTTATAAAAAACTAGAGTGACGACGGGCGGCAGGTGATAACCACCACCACCATCCTTAAAATGCTTACCTCTTCTTTGCACCATACTTATTATCATTGCTTCTTTTTTTATTACTTTGAATTTGATTGTTTGGCATTGTTATATTTTTTTAAAAATAAAAAAAAAAGAAGTTTGTTGTTTGATTGATGCATGCACACTAATTATTTATCCTATTGGTTTTTTTTTGGTAGGACAGACGCAAATTGTTTTTTTTTTCTTTCTTGAAAAAACAATTTATTTTTGACAGAGTCCAAGGTGACAAAACGTGAGTGTTGTTGTTTGGTTTGGTTTGGTTTGGTTTCCTAAAGAGTAGGTGTTAATAACTAACAGAGGTACTATTTTTTACTTGTATTGATATAGTGTGAGGTGTCTTTTATTTTGGTTTATAAATATTTTAATTGGAAATCAAAACGTGGAGCAGATCTTGCTGGGTAATTACAGGATTTTCATTGATATTAATAATATTTTGCTTTTTGTAATTATAATAATAATATTATAAATATTATAATTACAAGATGTCAAGGCAGCATTGACTGTTGAAAAAGAAACAATTCAAATATGCGATGTTGATTACAGGAAAATAATAGGCGTGAAGCACATGCACTACCTTGAACACTTTACAGTCATTCTCTCACGTTCCTCATGTACATAAGGCTAATCTGACTTGTGCCTGATGATACAATGATGCACTGAATTCCAGGGAGGGGGAAAGATGTCCTGAAGTTTACTGAGATTGCATCAATTGTCAATGACACTTTCAATCTTCCCAGACCAGAGATGGCTGCTGGCATGCTGGCCAAAAAGGATGGCACTATGACCAAGTTGCAACTCTGCTGATGAATATTAAGAGAATCTGCAGCTTGTTTCAATCACAGTATGCAATTCAGAGCAGGGTTTGTAGCCCTGAAATTGCATTTGGACTCTGATGTTAAGAGGAAAGTTGTAAAATAGTGTTCGTTTTGTATAATCACTTTCCTAAATGCTCTACTAACTAACCAACTTAATAATTTTGGGTAAGAAATTGGATGAGGTTTTTGCCCAACCAGTCCTTTGTCTTGTAAATTAAAATTATCACATGATTATATACATCTTTGTCAACAATATGGCCAACAAGAAAAAAGTTATAAAATGGTTTGGATTTTGTTTGGTATGTTATGTTATAAATTAATCATTTTCCCAAATTTTCTGCTTCTCTTTAATTTTTGTTTGACCAACTGAACTTGTTATTTTAATAAATGGGGGTAGGGTCAGTGTATAAAATTTGCCGAACAATTTTTGTGCATGTTGTACAAAATTTTTTGAGGAATTGTGCAAAAGTTGTTTAAAAATTGTGCATGTATGGACAAAAAATTGTAAGTAGTTTAGTTTTTTTGATTTTTTTTGTGCATTATACATAGAAAATGTAATAATGCAAAAATTTTTCATTGAATTTGTGCACTATATTTAAAATTTTTGTTGAGAGTCTGCACAAAAATATTTATTTCATTATGCACAGTTTAAGGGGGTTGTGCACTGTGCACACTGTGCACATGAATTTTATACACTGGGTAGGGTTGTTGGTGAGTAGGCATGCCACTGACAAGACAGGGGACGCCTTTGAGGTATGCCAGCCAAACTCATAGAAAGGTATCCTTTATCCAGACTTAGGGCCACATGGATGTTAAGCACAGAAAATGTACACTATCAATGTATATTTGTTTCAACTATACATGCAGCCCAAAGTATTTTGACACTGTCATAAAGGGGGTTACAGATGTAGTAAAGGGGTGTTACACTTATGTTTTAATAGTAAATGCCATAATTAATTTCTACTTTCTACCATCAAAATTGGAATAATTTTGACCATCAAAATCACCAAACCAATTTGGGCTGCATGTATAGTTAGGTGTGATGTTGTTGTCAAGTAGTTGGATAGATGATTGACTGTCTGTATAAATTGACACCAAATGGTATTGTGGACAAGTTATAAGAATAGTCATAATTGCCATTAATTCTGCTATTGTTGAAGAGGGAAAGGATGTCAATGAACAAGAAAAAGAGTGTTTGACATTTTCATTTTTTAATTGAATTCAGGCACAAAATAATTTAATATCTTGTTGACCAAATTTTGATAAAGATCCATCAGTGTAGAATGTCAATGATTGAGAGGAATGGTTGTTGTTGGCATATGATAATAGGATATTTTGTATTGGTGAGGAGGTGAATGTGAATTGTCAATAACTATTATTTTTTAAAAAAATGATGATAATTAGTATAGATATAATGGTAATTAATTAAATCAAACAAACAAATATTCTTTATGTAATTACTTTCCTTCAAGCTCATCAAGTTGGTTTGTTTCTGTCTCTAATTTTTCTAATTCTTTTTTCAATACTTCTCTCTCATGTTTGATATCTTTCAACATATCAGTTGCTGCCAATTCTTTATTTTTAATCTATCTACCAAAATAAAAAATTGTTAAATAATTGTTAATTGTGACTATAACAATAACTTAATCATTGTTATTAATATAATAATTATGAGCTTTGCCTATATATGGAATTGCACACACAACTAATTGTTATCAATGGCTTGCCTCTTGAATTTCTTTTTGTAATTTTTCAGTCTCTTCATCGCTAATAATATTTCCATTCACTTACTTTCTTTAAAAAATCTTTATAGCAATCATGTTCTTTTGAAGTGTCTGTTAACTGTTTACCCAAACTATCCAACAACATCTCAGTATATTCTTGGCACATTGGATGAGACAACTCTGATCTTGAATTCATCAAATCAAAAAGACCAATTTGTCACTTTCAATTGATAACTAATACTGGCCCATTGCTGTCTATCATCATTGATAATAATGCTGTTACTTATATCATCACTATCAGATGATAATCCATTCTCATGTGTGATTGTGATAACATTACATAAGATTCTGAGGTGCCCAAGTAAGAATCTTTCTTCTGTTTATTTGAACTTATACTTGCATATCTTGTCATTCTGCATGGCTCACTTGCTGTAGACATTGACCTTTTTTTAGATTGGTAACCATCAACATTATTATTATTAAAGTCATTAAAACTATTTTTTTTTTTTAACTTAAAGTCTGTTTTATTCAAGTCTGAAACTTTTGATATTTCTTCAGGTAATGGTGCTAAATTAAATAATTTGTCAAAGGCAACATTCATGTCCTTTGCATGAGTAATTACTTTAATGTTAAAATAAGATATATTAGAAAGACATACATAACAGTATATCTACTGAACCATTGTTAAGGTCTAACAAAGATTCATCAATTTTATCGCATGTTGATAGTTTGCACAGGTAAAAAAACTAATTGGTCCATGCATTTAAATTTTTTATAAAAAACTTTTGTGCTAGTTTTGCAATTGATTCAAATTATTATTATCTGATATTTAATTTTCACATCAAAAACTTCCACATTTAGCATTCTTTTTTAATGGTGGTGATGAAGTAGATGGGGAGTTACAAATGTGATAATTAATAAAAACACGAATATAATAATGAAAAATTACGAAAAAAACCAAAAAACGGAGAACAAAAAACAAAAGGGCAATGTCACTTGCCATCATATGATTGGATGGCAACGAACATGCTAAAAAGGATAAGGCTCATCGTGCATTCTTTAACACTTTACGTAATATTAATAATGACTTGAATGCGTCATAAGAAATACGTAATGTGGGCCACAAACTTATAAATAGTAAAAAAGTAAGTATAATGGATAATAAAGTCAGACAGAGGGATGGGCTTTTAGCCAGGTTCTTGTATCTTATTAGCTTTGCCTGATAAGTGTGGGGAATAATTACCCTTGCAAGTACTGAATCGGGTGTGTTTACTGATTTCGTCCTGGTAGACATCATGGGATCTATCAATATAAGTTTTTGACAAAAGATCTACTGTTTCTGGAGAAGGAATTGGTTATGGATCTTGATAAAGTAAATAAATTATGGAAAAAAGCAAACAAAAATAAAAAGGCATCACCATCATCATTGTTGTCGTCATCATCTGTAATGGAAGAAAATCGGAATCTATAATTCCAAAGATGAGTTGCTTTTCCCAATGAAGACATACCTTTACAAGCCAATAGTTTGGCAACAAATGTTCTTAAAGTGGTGAAGTCTGTCGTGCGAACTTTTGATAAAAATACTATCACACAAGGGTCTCTCTGCTCTTACAAAAGTTCAAATCATTTACAAGTGGGTTCTAAAAGTAATGTATACTGTCCCTAGAGAGAATGTTTATGATGTAGAGATGTACCCAATCCTGCATAAATGGCTGTAAAGGTATATAGGTTTGAAATCACTGGACAGTGGCACCTAGGACAAGTTTGCAAAGATGGAAATTACCACTACTTTTATTGCAATCTTACAATAAAGAAGAGTGGAGAGCCCCACCCTATAGCCATTTTCGAACTTTTGGCAACGGCGCCCACATCAAATTTAGATGAGCATTTTGAATAAGTATTTAAATGTGCCGAACAACTTTGCCCTCTGGAAGTTTGGGTCGTGCATTTTTCTTGTGAGGATACTGTTGTAGCATTTTTTTATTCAAAAAGACATTTTATATGTATTCTTAAACTAGTTTTACTATAAAATGTTTTGGCACATTCACACTTTAAATCATTTATACCAAGATGAATTCTTTTTGTATGTAATTAAAATCCAATTTTTTGATAAAATGTCTTGATACATTCTGGATATTCACATTTGAAATTTTTGTAAGTTGATATTTGAATTTGTGTGCATTAGTAGTGTATCTTTAGCAGAATAAGCTTTAGTACATCCTGGATATTCGCACCTGAAATTTTTTATTCCAAGATGACGTCTTGCATGATCTTGTAGTCCATTGTTTTGATAAAATGCCTTAGTGCATCCAGGATATACACGCTTGAAATTTTTTATTCCAGAACGGCATAATGTATGATGTCATAAATTAGCTTTAAAATAAGATGCTTTAGCGCATCCTGGATATTCACACTTGAAATCTCTTATTACAATATGGAGTTTTGTGTGATTTAGCAAACCACCTTGTTGATAAAATGATTTTGTACATCCTGGATATTCACACTTTAGATTTTTTCACCATGGATTAAACTGTGTTAAAATCTTGCCATAGCCTGGAAATTTGCAAAAAAATTCAACTATGATCATCATCTTCATTACCATCATTTTCATCACTATCAAAATTCTCTCCCCAATTTCAAGATCATTATTATTATCAACACCTCCATCAATGACCTCATTTTCACTATCATTCTTTTCACCTTCATCTTCATTTTTATTTTCATTTGCATTTTGATTCTCTTTATTATTGTAAATGTTATTGATATTGTATATAACTATGATTATGATAATCTTTTGATTTTGTTATCATTGCTATTAATATATACAACTAACAATCTATCAATCTATCATCATTATTATAATAAAAAAAAATGATAGAACAAATAAAATATGATATGATTAGTCTTATAAAGTATCTTTTTTGGCATCTTGAAACTTTTTAATAATTGGAATCATTAATATTATTTTTTATACTTTTAATCTTCTTACATAATAATATGATTGGATTAATCATAGCAGACAATTATACGATATTAAAAAATTGGAAATGAAATAAATTAATAAAGGGATTTATTTATTAAAAATAAATCATTTTAAATAATAATATCTTGCTCTATAACATATTGATAATTTAAGCCCAGTTTATAGGTTTATATATCCCATATATAATAATAATAAATCATTACTGTCTATAACAGAGATTTTTTTGTAATAGTAAGCCAAAATGGTCTGTATAGAGAGTGTGAAATGCACATTTAAACATTACACCACAACTAGAGGTGTTAATTCGTTTCGGTCGAGCATAATTGAATTGAGTTTAAGCACAATGTAATGTTTACTTTTCTTAATGATAATAGTTTCTCGAACGGTATTTTAATGATTGTAAAAATACAAGTTAATCTTTATTATCTTAATATGATGCCCTTTATATATAAAATTACATAGATTGATAAAATATAAATAATAATATAAGATTGATAAAATATAAATAAAATATAAATAATAATAATCATAAGATTCTTATCAATCTATCCGGAAGATTTGTGGACATAGATAATAATAATAAATATAATTAAAGACACGAAATAATTGATACAAATAATAATAAATGTGTCATGTTTCTAATGTAAATATTTATGTACCACCCCGATGTTACACATGACTTCGGAGTAATTTGTTACATACATGCTAGTTATTAAATAAAAATTAATTTAATTTAATTAGATGATGTTTTAATAGATATTATTTTGTGTTGTTAATATATAATATAATACTTACTTTCTGGTTATTATAAAAAAGTAAAATGAAAAATTAATTAGATGATGTTGTAAAGTTAATTTATAACAGAGTTGGCAATAGACTGGGTCCATTGAGACCATATGAGTTTTGATATGGTCCATTGCCATTAATAAAATATTAAACATGGTTAAAACATTACACCAATGGACAATCAATGGACTAACCATGGCCAACCCTGATTCATAGTATGATACTTACCCTCTGGTTATTATAAAAATAAAAATAAATTGATTTAATTAGATGATGTTTTGATAAAGTTTATTTTGTGTTGTAAAAGTTAATTTATAGTATAATGCTTACCCCCTGGTTATTATTAAAAAAATAAAAAATAAAATTATTTAATTAGTTGATGTTTTAATAAAGTTTATTTTGTGTTGTAAGTTGATTTATAATATAATACTTACCAACTGGTTTATTATAAATAAATAAAATTAAATTGATTAATTTAGATGATATTTAATAAAAATTTTTGTGTTGTAAGAGTTAATTTATAGTATAATACTTACTATCTGGTTATTATAAAAAAAATAAAAAATAAATTATTTGGTTAGATAATGTTTTAATAAAATCATCATGTGCTGTAAAAGTAAATTTATAGTATAACACTTACCAACTGGTTATTATAAAAAAAAATAAAAATAAATTATTTGATTAGGTGACATTTTAATAGAAATCATTTTGTGCTGTAAAAGTAAATTTATAGTATAATACTTACGTACTGTTATCATAAAAATAAAATAAAATTTATTTGATTAGATGATGTTTTAATAAAAATTATCTAGTGTTGTAAAAGTTAATTTATAGTATAATACTTACATGCTGTTTATTATAAAATAAAAATAAATTTATTTAATTAGGTGATGTTTTGATAGAAATTATTTTGTGTTGCAAAAGTAAGTTTATTATACAATGCTCACCTTCTGGTTATTATAAAAAGGAAAAATAAATTTATTAATTAGATGATATTTTAATAGAAATTATTTTGTGTTGCAAAAGTAAATTTACCAATTTCCTTTTGTTGTTGTTGATCTTGCTGTTGTGGTGATTGTATGGGATTTGAAAATGGTTGCCTTAAAGGATTAAGGGATGCAATGTGGTCGGAATAGGAATCATAAGTATTTAATTGAGTAATTTGGTTGTATGGATTTAATTGGCTTGCAGCTAGTTATTATAGTGCAAGACACCTAGTCCCACAACTTTTTATTGGCCTTGTAGATCCTTCTCTAACTCCAAAAATGGAAATGTA